AAACAAAACAAAAAAAAAAAACACATTAAAAAAAAAATTACTCCTAATTGCATTATCCACATCACTTTTGGTACATCTTCTCCTACTTAGTTTTTCTGTGCATACATAGGCCATTTTGTTGTTTGTTTTGTGTGTATATTTTGTTTTACAAACATAACCTCTTTTTATTTTTACTTATTTATTTATTTATTTTTAATGTTTATTTATTTTTGAGAGAGACAGAGCTTGAGCGGGGGACGGGCAGAGAGAGAGGGAGGCACAGAATCCGAAGCAGGCTCCAGGCTCCGAGCTGTCAGCACAGAGCCCAACACAGGGCTTGAACTCATAGACCACGAGATCATGACCTGAGCCAAAGTCGGACGCTCAACTGACTGAGCCACCCAGGCGCCCCATAATAACCTCCTTTTTAATGGACACTTAATGTTCAGTAGAGAAAACTGATCACAGTTTATTGACCCCTTCCCTAATGTTACACATTTCAGTTCCTCCTGCTTTTTGCTATTGCACATAACACAGTAGTGCACATCTGTGTGCTTGTTTTTTTTCTGCAGTTTGAAGTATTTCCAAAGTGCCTCTGTTACCAACCCAGTTTAGTCCTTAGGTATCTAAGGCATCCTACACACACACACACACACAGCCTCTCATTTAGTTCCCCCGGGGGTGATTTACGAAGAGAAGTGGGGGGGTGCTTAGAAAGGCCTCTGCAGCTGCCCCCACCCCATGTCTTCCACAGGTCTGGGGCTCTCCTCCCGGACCCCGGCTGTGAGCACGTCCGAGTCGAGTGCAGGCACGGGGACCAGCACCCCGTCCACGCCCACCACCACCAGCCAGAGCCGCCTCATCGCCTCGTCCCCCACCCTCATCTCAGGGATCACCAGCCCCCCCCTCCTGGACTCCATCAAGACAATCCAGGGCCATGGCCTGCTTGGCCCCCCCAAGTCCGAGCGCGGCCGCAAAAAGATCAAGGCGGAGAACCCAGGGGGGCCGCCCGTCCTCGTAGTCCCCTACCCCATCCTGGCCTCGGGCGAGACTGCCAAGGAGGGCAAGACATACAGGTGGGGGTCTTGGTGGGAGGGGGTCCACGTGGGCGTGGGGTGGAGGCTCACACCAAGGGCTGCCCTAGGAGCCCAGCAGCTGGGGCTGGAAAGAGGGACTGCAGAGGCTGAGGGTAGGGGCCAGGTCTAGAGGAGCGGGGTCTCCTGGTGAGCCCCACCCGCAGCCCATTCACAGGCAGGCTGGGGCTATCCCGCCATGCATATGCGGGGTTGCCAGAGGCCAACCTCACCACAACCTGGTGTCGTGGGAGTCCTGTTCTTCCTCCCTTCAAGCTCTCGACCCTCAAGTTGGAATCATCTGGGGAGCACTCAGAAAATGCCAATCCCAGGGCAACACCTCCAGAAATTTTGATATAATTGGTTAGAGGGCGGACATGCAGAGGGCCAGTGAGCCCCTCTTGAAAGCTCCCCAGATGATTCTGATGTGCAGCTGGGAGGAGGACTTCTTACTCCCAAAGTTAGGGCATGTGGCCCCGGGCACACCTTCCCAGGATTGCCAGGCCTGTCTTCCCTGGGAAATGGAAACCGTTTCCCCCACTGCTGGGAATGGGCCCCTGGGGGAAGAGCCTTTGCCTCCAGATTGGAGGGTGTCCAGGCTGGGAGCCTGTACCCCTGGGCTCCTCACAAGGAAGCTCTGTGCCCAGGTGCAAGGTCTGGGTGCTGTGGAAGGTGCCCTGAGCAGTATACTGGCAGAGGGCAGGGGCGGGGCGGGGGTGGTGGCGGTGGCCGTCTTCCCAGGTGTGAACGTGCCTCTTACCCCACAGGTGTAAGGTGTGCCCGCTGACCTTTTTCACCAAGTCTGAGATGCAAATTCACTCCAAGTCACACACCGAGGCCAAGCCCCACAAGTGCCCGCACTGCTCCAAGTCCTTTGCCAACGCCTCCTACCTGGCCCAGCACCTGCGCATCCACCTGGGCGTCAAGCCCTACCACTGCTCCTACTGTGATAAGTCCTTCCGACAGCTCTCCCACCTCCAGCAGCACACCAGGTGAGTGGCCCGCCTGGTGCTGCACCCCCTGCAGCCGATTTCAGCTCAGCACCTGCGCCGGGTGCATGGACCTGGTGCAGGAGGGGCAAGGACCTTCTCTAGGTGCCCACTGCCCCGAGGGTCAAGACCAAACTCCTTTACTTGGCATTTGAAGCCTTTGGTGATATGACCTCTGTGGACCTCACTGGCTTCTGCTGTCACTACTATGCCACCCTTCCCACTGTGTCTCATCTGCTATGTCCTTTGCCTGAAACACCCTCCCACATCTTTATCCTTTTTCTCTGGCCTCTCCTAGCCATCTCTCAGTCCAGCCTCTCCACGCCCCGACAGGCCCTACGCATCCCCATCACGGTAGCGATAGGCTGTCTCGTCCTTGCCGGCTTCTTTTCCCAACTTCCAAATATATTGATGGCTCTTGAAGGCAAGGGCTTGGTCCCGTCCATCCCCATATCCCCAGTGTGTGGCACATAATAAGCATCTGGGCATTTGTTTAATATTTGTGGAATAAATAGAACTGTCTTTTATAGGTCATGTGATTCATCCATTTGACAAGTATTTGCAGAGCCTCTACCATAAGACAGACATGATTCTAGGTTCTGGGAGCGCAGCAATGAACAAAACAGACAAAACTCCCTGTCCTTATAGGCGTACAGTCTAGTCGAGCATGTCAGAGAGAGATTCAGAAATACAAATGCTTTCAGGAAAGACAAGTTTTTGCAGGGGAGTACAGACATCAGAAAGACTGACTATCCACCCGCCAAATAAAAACACCATAGGTGTTTAGAGAAACAAACCAAAGGTTACCAAGATTGCAGTTCATCTCTTCAGAGGGGAAGAAACACAGAGGTTTTCTCTCCCCTGGTGATAGCATCTGTGAGCATTGCTATGCGTTGGCCGCTATCTGCTTTGTAAAAGTCAGGGGTAATGTTTTTGTGTGGAGCTTGTAACTTGCAGGAAGTGCTCAAATGTTGTCTCTTTTGAGGACTGATGCTAGACAGAGAGACCCTAGTTTTTATTTTTAGGTTAAACTGTTGTTCTTTTTGTGATTTATTCATACGCATCCATTGCCTTTGTGTGCTTTATCGCGGGGCACAGAGTGCTTTGTCTGTTCCTTGGACTCGGAGGCATAATGTGTAGGTTTGATGGTAGGAAACACATGGCAGAGTGTCAGTAGGACACTGTAGGCATCCGTGGTTTCTCCCGGTCCTGCGCCTCCTGAGGCATAAGGATCTGACCACAGAACTTTCTCTCTGCAGGTTTCTGATTTTTTGTCATTACTTTGATTATTTTTTAAAGTTTGGCCAGTTTTCTGGACACAGGCATGTGTAACGAGGTATTGATGAAGAAAGAAAGTCCTGCTGGTTAGAGCATACAATACTAAGGTTTGAGAGCTAACTTCCGTCAGATTTCACAAAACCCCTGGGTCCTCCTTTTAATCTGTGTGTGAAAAAATTCCTCATGATATTATTTAAGATCAGTAACCTGGAAGGATCCAGTTCACCTGTTGGGTTGTGCCTGTACAGCCTGTGATGGAAAGGGTACCTTGTTTTTGGAGACCCCTCCCCCCCCCCAACCCAGTGCGTTGGCGTTTCGGGCTGGCAGGAGTAACTTCATGTGTCACCTTGAAGGCTGGGGTTCCATAAGCCAGGGAGCAGATCTGGTCCAGTTTCCTGGAGCCTTAGGGAGCCCACATTCCCACATGTGAAGGACAGTCCTTGTGTTTTACTATCAGGCTTATAGTAATCTAATACTATAATGAAATGAAATTTGTCTTCAGATGTGACATTTCTGGCATGGTGGTGGTTACAAATTTGATTTACCCAATTATATCCTGTTGGGAAGGAGGACAGATTCTTACTGGCCCTATTTACCAAACTAATGGTCACGAAGAGCAAATGGTCTCAAATTGTTGGCTTGATTGGTGGGAGCAGAGGAGTTTGTTTTTTTTTTTATTTTGAGAGAGAGAGAGGAGGAGACAGAGTGTGAGTGGGGAAAGGCAGAGAGGGAGCACAGAATCCCAAAGCAAACCGGGTTCTGAGCTATCTGCACCAGAGGAGAGCCCGGCAGTGGGGCCTGAACTCAAAACCGTGAATCGTGACCCGAGGCTGAAGTCGAGTGGATTTAACTTTGGCTAATTTACCCAGACACCCCACGGTCTGAGTATTTTATTCATTGTTCAAAGACAGCTAAATTGAGGAGTTAAGATCAAAGAAGAAATGGGTTTTCTCATATGCCCTTTGAGGAAGTAAGTGAAAACCCCAACTAAATCACTTTCATTCGTCCAAAGTCATAATTCCTGTTCTGCTGATCTCGAGAATTTGGTTAGTCTGCTTTGCCAAAACACGCACTGCTTCTGGGTGAACTCTGGGACCCTGGCAGCCTCACACAGTCTCTGCCCGGTGATGGTGTCGTTTGGAAGCTGTGCCCCTTCATCTGTTCTCTGGAGCATAAAAAAAGGCTAAGTGCGTGTGCTGTAGTCCTCAGGCCCGTAATCTCTTAGTGTCTTCTTCGAGACTCAACTTCGAACCTGAAGCAGAGGTCTTTTGGCAAGGTGTGGTGAGGGGGACATCAGATCTGTTGCTGAGACCAAATGACTCTGGTCCATTATTTGGCTTAATCAACAATGTCAGAGTGGAGGGAAGTGTAGTCTTTTATTCTGATATATTGCATGATCAATATTTAGATTAGAACAGATTTTGGCAGCAAGCCATCTTCAGACTCTTTTTATCTCATAAGGCGGTATTTGCCATGTCACTAATTGGTAAATTAATAGTTAGTTAAATGTAGAACAAATCTTTTTTTTTTTTTTAATTCAGTTGTTAACATACAGTGGAGTAATTGTTTTCAAGGATTAGAACCTAGTGATTGGAATTTTTTTATAACACCTAGTGCTCATAAGGACATGTCGTTTTTTATTATGCGTGAAAATAAGTTACTGTTTTTGGTCTCCATTTTTAAAAAAGTGCCCAAATGTATATATTTATATTATATAGCATATATAATTCTGTGATATACTATATAATTGTATAAGTTCATAATTATCACACATATAAAATGAATATAAGTGTATAAATACATTTTCTGTATATACACATAAAATATAAAATTAATGCAGGGAGAGGTGTGCATCTCTTTTTGTTGCAACTGCCTTACACTAGTATGTATCTTCATAGGACAGCCCTCGCTCTAGTGTTTGGCCCGGCCCCGGCAGCCTTCATTAAAAATACAGAAAATACAAACAACTCAATCATTTAGACATCCCTCTTTTAAGTAAAGCAAAGAAGAACTCTTTGGTGTTGCCTGAGGTAGCCATCTGGAAAATCCAAAGGCGTTTGGGTGTAAAAAGATACTTTGATAACATTATTCTGATTGGGGGCCTGGATTCGAGAGAGAAGGCTAGGGCACAAGGTGGGCAACCTAGGTAAGGTATGAGCATTGGTTTGGTAATGTGTGGGGCACCTGGGTGGCTCAGTCGGTTGACGTCTGACTTCCCAAAACTCAGGTCATGATCTCAGTCGGTTCGAGAGCCCCTTCGAGCTCTGTGCTGATAGCTGAACAGAGCCTGGAGCCTGCTTCGAATTCTGTGTCTCCCTCTCTCTCTGCTCCTCCCCTGCTCACGCTCTGTCTCTCCTCTCAAAATAAATAAACATTCAAAAAACCAATTTTTTAAATGGGAGGCACCCTGAATAGCTCCCAGTAGGACTGGAGCGTCTGACTTCGCTCAGGTCATGATCTCACGGTTTTGTGGGCCACATCAGGCTCTGTGCTGACAGCTTCAGAGCCTGGAGCTTTCGAGATTCTGTCTCTCTCTCTCTCTGCCCTCCCCCCACTCATGCTGTCTGTCTCTCTCTCAAAATAAACTTAAAAAAAAAAAAAAAAACACAGTAGCAAGTAGTGATAATTGGAGAATCCTAGTTTTTTTTCAGAAACAAACCTTTGTTTAAAGTACTCATCAAGGCTGTGACCAAAAAAGCAACAAAAATTTCTGACAGGCTGAAGGAGGATTTTGCTGATGTTCACTTATCCAAGGATTTGCTATCCATTCCCAAGGACATTTTTTTTTTCCTCAAGGCGATTTGAGTGCATAATGGTGGGGTAAAACAGAAAAGCCAGAAGGGTCCTACCAACATTAGAGACAAGTGACCAGTCATTAGAACAGTGACACACCTTATAATTAAACCGATGTCCTCACCCGATGACAAGAGGTGGTGTCCCTGAATACAAGTTCGAAATCCGTTGAACAAACAACAAACGAAAAGCTAAACTTTAAAAAGCAACCGATTCAGGTTCCTTGTTTCCTGCCGTTCCACAGAGACTCTTTCCTGCTTTTGCCCCTCCGTGAAAACCAGACAGTCAAGGCACATAATCCAAATCCATCTTCCAAGGGTGATGCCAGTAATGAGGGGAATAAAAAGAGTCCGTCCCAAGCTGAACCAGCCTGGTGTGATGAGTTTTTGAGGAGTGGGTTGGATTGGGACTTGACAGGTGGAGTGGGGAGGTGGTGGTGGGACATGTGCTGAAGCACTTTGGGTGGACTTTCCTCCGTGAAGAGGAGAAGACAAAACAAGTAAGAAACGCGGGTAGCTGGTAGGTGTTCCAGAAGTCAGAGTTCAGGGGTGGCCCGTAAATAATAAAAACCATGTATTTCAAAAGAAAGTCAACAACTTGCAGAGAGTCACCAGTCCAGCATTAGAAAAAATGGCATCTGTCCTGTGACAGCAGTTAGCCCTTAGTCGAGGTCATGTACCTGCAACCTTACAAAGGCAAAAGTGGGGATACATACCCGTTTTCGTGAAGTGGAAGTGAGTGAGAGTCTGGGAAGAGGCTCAAGTGACGGATGTGTTTATCTATTCAGGCTGCAGACCAGTTTGCATTTGTTTTTCTCAGCTATGTGGCTGACAATGTGCGTGTGCCCGAGGTGCGTGTGCGGTGGTGGGCGTCATTCCGTTTTCGAGTCTGATGATGTGAGTCAAATTCTACCCACAACCTGTGTCCAGGGCGCCCTGTGCCTGGCCCAGTAGTGTTTCCATCTGAGAAGTCCTCCTGTGAGTGTGAAACTGTGTTTCTAAAGAAAGTGTGACCTGAAAAAGTGCTTTTTGGAGAGTGAGTCATCTCAGGAAGGGGTTAACTTGAATTTGTCCCGTTGTGTTCCAGTTCAAAGCATTCACTTGACTGGAAGTCGTTCAGTGTATTTATTACCTGGGAAATAAAAAGAAAAATGAGAACTGATGAATTGTCCATAATTCCTATTTAAAGCATTGAATAAATTCTCCTTCTTGGTTTGTATAACCTGTTTATCTTAAATAGAGAAAGTGTCTCATGGTACCGCCGAAGAAGTCACTGAATTATAAGTCATTACAATCCATTATTATAGCCATTTTAGGACTGAGGAAACTGGGTTGAGGGAGGCAAAGTCACTTTAAGGTCACTGTGCTCTGAGGGAGGCAGAGGAGTGAATTTGAGCCAGATCCCCCCAGGAGCCGATGGGCTGAGGGAGAAGGGGCTGGAAAAGAAACTCCTATATGGGTGGAGAGTTACCAGCTACATAGGCTTGAGTCTCAAGGAAGGGTGGGGGGGGAATGCTTGTGGCCAGTCCCAGAGAGGCACGCACTGATTTCCTTTCGGCCCCCTCTTTGCCTGTGGCCCGCCTGCGATGGCCTTGTCATGGGGGGCCGGGCTGAGTGCTCTGGAAGGGAGATACCCTGCGGAGACAAGTCTGATGTTGGGAACTGAGCAGAGGGGTGGAGTGGGAGGTGTTCCAGCAGGGAGGCAGCAGCATGAGCACAGGCTCTCAGAGGCTTGCTGGGGGGGGGGTGGGGGGGGGGGGGTGTCTTCATGTCTTTTTAATGGCTCCTGTTTGACTCCTTTCAGGGGAGAGCAGTGAGTGGAGGGGAGGCTTTAGAAACCAAAGGCCTTGAATGCTGTGGGAGTTTGGACTCTGTCCTGGAAAAAGGGGGAGACAGTGGAGGTCATGAGCAGGACCATGGCAGTCAGATCCTCTTTAGCTGCTGCTGGGAGGCCAGGAGGAGAGCTGCTGCTGGGAGTCCAGGAGGAAGGCCAGGCAGCTGTGGTGGTGCCTACAAGGACTAGGAAGGAGGCCACAGGGGAGCTCGGTCTCAGAAGGGGCTTAGCCAGGGCCCTGAGGAAGGACCTTTGCGGTCAGTCAACAAGAAATACTTGCATCTATATCATCCACGGATGGGCGTCATTAGCTATGTTAGGCATATTACTGTTGCCAGTGACGGTATCCAGAGAAAACCCTCTTTAATTCAGTCCCTGCCTATGTACAGGGTCCTCTTGGCTGGGCCCTGGGGTGATCTGCTGAGTGATGAAGACCCAGGGGGGAGACCCCTTGTCCTCAGGAGGCAGCCAGGAAACAGTGACTAGGCGGTGACAAATACACAGCGGGGTGGGCTGCAGGGCCCAGGCCAGCCTGCTGTGGGGGCCTCAGGGAAGGCCATGTCGGGGGGGGCTTTTAAGCTGAGAACAGAGTGTGGGTTTTCACCAGGTATTAGCTGGGGAAAGTGTGCTGCGGAGAGGGGGTGCCCAGCCTGGATAAAGGGAGGAGCTTGGAGTCCTAGTGGTCCGGGGGGGAGAGGCTGGGTGGGGCCAGAAGGCTGGGGGAGGCAGGGGAGAGGAGCAGTGGGAGGCAGAGACTCTGGGGTGAGCCCTGGAGGGGGTTAGGAACAAAATCAGCATGCCCTGGGGTCCCTTAGTCCCCTCTGCCACTGACCCCAACTGAATGAATTCCCCCAGCCCTGGGGGGGGAGGCAGGGAGGATGACGACGAGCGACGGAGAGGTTGTGTCAGTCAGATGGCCCGTGGGTCCTTCCCATTGTGTGGGGACAGGGTGCCATGGATGTCTCCAGATACATGACATCCAGAAATGTGCAGGTAAATGGGGTTCTTAAAATCCAGCAGGCCAGCAGCTCCCACTTGGCAGGTTTCTGTGCAGCCTGTGAGCTGGCTCTGGCCTTGGCATCTGAGCCTGGGCCTGAAAGTAACTTGCCCCACTCCTCCCCTGTTCGCGTGGGAGATGGTGGTGGCGGGGAGGGGGGGGGGGGGGGGGGAGGGGGGGGAGAGGTGTGGCCCCTGTACTGAGATACCGGTGAGGATCCACAGGTTTGGTGGTAGAATCATTAGTCAACAAGGTTGCGGGTAATGGATCTTGGACCAGGATGTAGGGTGCGCCTTGTAGGAGCAGGAGAGGTGAGGAGGCCAGAGCACCGCGATGAAGGGCCTTGAATGACACACTAGGAATCTGGACTCTTACGTTTCGCGGTGGGCAGCCAATGTCTTCCTGATGGCTGGTATTGTTTATTCAAGCCTTTCCAGCATGGGGCCTGCTGGGACAGGGACCTTAGTTTGATGAGTTTGTTGATGGGCAGAGCAAGCATGGCCTGGTGGTGGCCTGGGGCAGCTCAAGGTTACGTGTGGCCCAGGGCTGGGTTCTCCCTTCCCTTGTTCTTGTGGTGGCAATTAGAGCAAACAGCGTTCAGGACGGCCAGCATTTCACGGCCCACCTACTTGGCGGAGAGGATTTGCCAGAACAGGTGACTGAAGACAAGCTCAGGCTGATCGCGGAGGGCTTGCACAGAAGATGGGGCTCTGGGGCGTCTGCGCACCTGTCCGGGCCCACCTCCGTCCTCACCTGGGCCCCCTGGGCTGTCAGGCAGGCACGAGCAGCACCACTGACCTGAACAGAAAATCCAGCCGTCCACCTTTGAGTCATCACTCTGGAGTCACCTGCTCAGTGAGGCCCACCCTGACCTCGTGGTTTAAAACTGAATCCCCACCCCCGGCATCCGTGCTCCGCCCCCCCCCCACCCCACCTTATTCTCTGTCTTCTCACAGCACTTATTACCTTCTATGTGGGATTTACTTACTTATTTCATGTTTGTTGTTTGTTTCCATGAGACAGTGGTTTTTTGTCTGTTTTGTTCATTCTAAGTACCAAGCGTGGTGCCTGGCACAGGGCTACCCAGCGTAATGAATGTTGAGTGAATGAATGAATGAATGAATGATGGTAATACTGGCAAGTGTTGACTGAGTGCGGACTTTGTGCCAACACTTGGCCAAACCCCTTAACACGTATTATCTAACATAATCTTCACAAAGTGACATGAGGTCATATTTTTATGCTCATTTTGCAAATGAGGAAACCGAGGCTCAGTGATTTTTCCCAGGGTCGCCCAGCTAGTAGCTGGTGCAGCCAGGATGAGAACCCAGGAGTGGGAGGGGACAGAGGGCTCACAGGAAGGACAGAGAGGGCTGAACTGCCGGGCCTCCCCGTCCTGCATTCTCTCAGTAGCTGGGGTGACCAGGTAGCCATCCCAGACATGAATCTGATGTGGGGACAGGGCAGGGGACAGAAGTTGGGAGCCAGTCAGAGACATTTCCTTCTGAAGGCAAGAGGCAGAGTGGACAGGCACGTTCCTGGCAAAGCTGTGGATCTGTGTTCTTTCAGTGGTGGTCTGTAGGTGGGTTTTTAAGAAGAGAGGGGCAGAAAGCAGTCAACGCGGGCCCCTGAGGCTGGGGGGCTGGGCCGGGTGTCTGAGTGGGCGCTGGCGGAGGGCGGGGTTCAGCAGGGAGCTGTGGGGAGCAGGAGGGCTCTGGTTACAGACCGGCAATGGGAGGCCAGAGAAGGAAGGAGAAGGGGGTACCTGTGAAGTCCCTGGCCCTTGCCTGGGGCTCTCTGGGGAGTGTATGGAGTGGAGACAGGGCGGCTTGGGAGTCAGATATATGGTGCAGGCCATCCAAGGGCCTGGGGGGCCGGAGCCGGCCCACGGTATCTGTCAGGGACTCCACCTCACTGCCCATTGCAGAATCCACACAGGCGACAGACCCTACAAGTGCCCACATCCTGGCTGCGAAAAGGCTTTCACTCAGCTCTCCAACCTCCAGGTGAGTGCCCGCCTGCCCCTTGCCTGCCTGGCCCCCTGCAAAGGGAGCCCAAGCCGGGGTGGGGCTGGGGGGAGCCCCGGCTGGCCCCTGACCCCTCTGTGCTCCCCACAGTCTCACCAGCGCCAGCACAACAAGGACAAGCCCTACAAGTGTCCCAACTGCTACCGGGCCTACTCGGACTCCGCGTCCCTGCAGATCCACCTCTCCGCCCACGCCATCAAGCACGCCAAGGCCTACTGCTGCAGCATGTGCGGGCGGGCCTACACCTCGGTGAGTGCCTGGGGTTCTCGGGGGACCTCTTCCTCTCCCGTGGCCTCAGCCATCTTGATTCTCCCCACTTTGCAGACAAGGAAACCGAGGCCCAGAGAGGGGAAGCGACTTCCCGAGATCACGATGAGTGGCAGAGCCAGGGTTTCGGCTCCCCAGTTCTGTTTCTGGCTGCCCTGGGCCGAGCCTCCAGCCTCTTGGCAGCCTGTAGCCGCCTGGTTTCCTCCAGGCCCCGGAACACTGAAGGCAGTGGTGGGGGGCCAGGCACCCTGCTCTCCAGAGCCAGAGCCGGGGAAGGGCCTTCCCCGCTGGGCAAGCTACAACCCCCATCGTGGCCACAAGAGGGCGCAGTGGCTCGGCCCAGAGCTTCCTCATCTCAGGAAAGGCCTGAGCAGTACCAGAAAGGTCATCTCATCCGACCCTCTGTCCCTGGGTGGGAATTTCCCTAAGCAAGGGCCTTTCAGCAAGAAGAGGAAGGCTGGGCAAATCACCTGAGTGTGTGTGCGTCTCCAGCTAATCAGATATTCTGGTTAATAGACCCCCATGCAAATCCAGACAGAGATCACTGAGCCTCAATTTCCTCATCTGTAAAATGACGAGGTAACAGTTCTCAACTCACAGGGCTGTTGGCCAGCAGAGCCAGTGCCTAATAAACATCCGCTAATACAATGATTCATTCTCTCAGTGTTTACTGAACACTTGTGCCAGGCTATTGGGAGTCAGGATGAATCAAACAGACATATTCTCTGCCCCCAGGGAGATTGGACTCTACTGCTGGAGACAGATATTAAACAAGTAACCAACAAATAAATATGGAATGACAAATTATGGTAATTGCTGTAAGCAGGGTTTCTCGTCCTCAGTGCATGTTAACATTTGGGCAGGGTACCTTTGTGCTCGGGGACTGTTTCGTGCATCGTAGGATGTTAGATACATCCTTGGCCTCTGTGCACTAGCTGTCCCTCCCCAGGCTGTGACAACCCAAAATGCCAGACGTTGCCAAATGTCCTGGGGCAGGAGGTGAAGTCACCTCTGCCTGAGAACCACTGGTCTGAAGGAAACATAGGTTGATAAAGCAGCAGGGAGGCTAGAACGGAATTGAGAAAGGGATGTAGGTCTGGGTAGGTCAGGGGAGGGGGTAACATTTCAATGAAGCCTTGAAGGGTAAGGAGGGTGAGAAACTTTGAAGCAGGAGCACACCCTGAGGTGGAACAAGCCTGGCAGGTTCCAGGAACTGAAAGAGGATTAGGTCACACGGGGCTGTGGGGCCTTGTTAGGGAGTTTGGATATTTGCCAGGTAGAATGGGAAGCCACTGGGGGGAGGGGACTGTCCGGGTGGATATTTTTGAGAGGTCACTGACTGGAGGGGGCACACGGCGGGTGGTGAGGAGTATGGCAGGTGCCAGCCAGGCCTGTGTTTGCTGAGCACTGGGTTCATGACACTGCTCCCTCCCTGGAGTTCAAAGGGCAGAGGAGAGCTGAAAGACAGAGGGCAAAACCTGCAGGGAAAGGGCCCCAAGGGGAGAGGCAGGGCACCCCAGAGACCTAGGAGCCCCACTCAGCCGGCTGACCGTCAGCTGGTGTCGGCCTCAAGTTCTGGACACCCACCTCCTCACATCTGCTCCCAGGGGAGGGACCACAGGCGTCCATGAGTGAGATTCTAGATGGAGTCTGTCTGAATTCTGGGGGCAGCGGGGGTGTCCCAGCTCACCTGTCTTGCGGTGACTGGACTCTCTAGAACTGGGCCTGACTGGACTCTCTAGAACAAGAATAATTACCTTTATTTTAAATTTATTTTTAAGTAAAGTATAGTTGGCATGATATTTTTTTAAGTAGGCTCCATGCCCAATGTGGGGCTTGAACTCGGGACCCTGAGATCAAGAGTCACATGCTTTACTGTCTGGGCTAGTCAGGTACCCTGACATGACATCTTTTTTTTTTTTTAATGTTTATTTTATTTTATTTTTTTGAGAGCGAGAGAGAGAGCGCGTGTGAGAGTGCACATGCAAGCGAGCAGGGGAGGGGCAGAGACAGAGAGAGAGAGAGAGAGAGAGAGAGAGGGAGAGAGAGAGAGAATCCTTAGCAGGCTCCGTGCTGTCAGCACAGAGCCTGACTCGGGGCTCAAATTCATGAAGCGTGAGATCACGACCTGAGCCGAGATCAAGAGTTGGACGCTTAACCGACTGAGCCACCCAGGCGCCCCAGTGACATACCTTTAAAAAAAAAAAACCAAAAAACATTTTAATGGATTGAATTTTAAACTACTTTAATACATAAAAGAAATATTTTAGAAGAGTGAACCCCCACGTTCCCATTAGCCCCCAGAACCATCAACCAATCTTGGCTCATCCATATCCCTATTTTCTGTCCCTATAATGTCTCTGTAGACATTATGTTGTTTCATCTGAAAATTTTCACTCTGTCTCTAAACAGCAGGACTCCTCTTTTTTAACATGTCCACGGTATCTTTACCATTCCCTTAAGTCCTTGGTACCATCAGCTACCCGGTCAGCGTTCACATTTTCTGTCTCCTGAATTAGGCCAGCATTTTGTTTACTTCCAATTTGATTTTGTAATCAAGATCCAAGGAAGATCCCTACATTGTACCCTGTCAATATATCTTTTAGTCTGTTGATCCCCACCCTGTGCCCCTGCCCCCACCCGGGTCGTTTTTTTCTTTGCAGTGTATTCACTGAAGAGTAGTTTCCTAGTTTGCGTGCTGCTGAGGCTTTCCCTCTGGTGGTGTTGATAGCCTGTTGCCACCACATTTGAGGGCTTCCTCTACATGACTGATTCTGAGCAAGGTGATGTTTGAGACCGGGGGACTCTGTCCTGTGGGGCGAGTGGTGGCTCACCAGGTATTCCCACTTCCTTCCACCTGAGTGTGAGGGCCTCCGGGCCTGCAGGTGAGCCCGCGGGTCCCCTCACGCGCCCAGTTGTGGGTGCCTCAGGTCAGACTCAGCAGAGCCGTGGGGACAGTCAGGGGACGAGCCGAGCATGCCCAGTTTGTGCTTCCCCAAGTCACCGGTCCTGTCAGGTTCGGCTTCTTCCCAAGGGAGGATTGCGTGGGGGGGGTGGGGTGGCAGAGGCTGGGGCTCCCACCACCGCCTGGAATCCAGAGTAGAGACTGGGGGAGGAACAGTCCCCTTGACCCTTACCGCGTGCTGGGAGCTCTATCTGCCATAGCGACCCTTTGAGGTGGTTCCTTCAAGAGGAGGCTTGGACATACGAGATGACGTATCTGAGGTTCCACTGCTACAAGGTGGCAGGACCCAGCTCAGACCAAGGCCTCCTGCTTCTCCCTCGCTGGAGCACCAGCCAGATGGGGGCGGCTGTGCTCGATCCCCCACGCAGGCTGAGGTGCAGCCAGTTGGCCTGGCCCTCAGGAGGTCCAGGTGGGCACTTCTGAGGGACGAGCCTGGTGCGTGCCAGCTCTCCCGCTGGCATGCTGTGGGCTCACAGTCTGGTAAACGGGCCAGCACCCACGCGTGGCGGCAGTGCAGCATCATCGCTAGAACCGATGCTCACTGCCCACCTGATGGCCTAGAGCCGGGCTGCTCGCCACCAGCTGGCCCACCTACCACGGAGCCCTCCCGTGGCCACTTGTGGGAACTGCAGCCTCCCCTGCGTGTCTTGCCAAGGGTTGCATGTTCTGAATCTCACCCCTGCCCACAGGAGACCTACCTGATGAAGCACATGTCCAAACACACGGTGGTGGAGCACCTGGTGAGCCATCACTCGCCCCAGAGGACGGAGTCCCCCGGCATCCCGGTGCGAATTTCCCTCATCTGAGCCGACCCAAGGCGCCGCCCCACCCTGCCCACTGGCAGACACAGACCCAGGCAGCACCAGGCCCCAGCTTCCTCCAGGGGCCCTCCAGGAACAGCCGAGCTCTCTCATGACCTTCCTGACCTTCCAGAAAGCCTGGGCTGCAGAAGCCCTGCCCGGTCCAGCTCCGGGGGCGGCCAGGCCAACTGCAAGATTCTGGACTGTTTTGGTGGCATCCAAAGACGATCTCAGAGCACTTTGAACCTCTCTGTTGGGTTTCTTTTTGTTCCCCACCCTCCACTTGCTTCACTGTTTTTGTTTTTAAGTTTGTTTTGGAAATAACAAAAAAGATATTTATTGGCCAAGAAGTTGGTGCTGCTAAGACCGAGAAATGAAAAGAATCGGACAGATGGACACAGAGAACCAGAGGGCAGCGTGGGACCTTCTCTTGCCACAGCCTCAGGTCTTGAGGGAAGGCTCAGGCCTGGGTTTCTGGACTGCAAAGGGGACCCCCCCCCCCC